AGGAGGTCATGCTGAACTTGGGACAACAAATGTGAAGCAACCCTATCCAACCAAAAACCCAAAAACGACAGGCAGCGAAGGGAAATTCTGGGAGTTGAAGTCCACTCCTCTTAAAGTTCCCAAGGTTGAGAAACACTGCTTTAAGGTATCTAAATAACAGGATCTCCAGAATTTAATTATATTATATAAATATCATTGTACTGAAATAATATAATGTATCAAGATTTATAACAACACAATAAAGAGGAACAAAAGTTCAAATTCAGTTTATCGTCCCAATTTTTTAAAAAAGCATTCCCCTTGTAGAGTGTCAGGTTCAGCCCAAGAACAGCAACGAGGCAATCAGTTCAGTACAGTTCAGTTCCTTTATTAGCTCGCACCTAATAGGCAGAATCTCACCAGACTCAACCTATGCTAAAGCAACAAGTGGATATACCCCGTGGGACTCTAGGGAGGGGCCAGCCTCATCCTCTTCGTCTTCCCACACTCTTCTTGCTGCGAGCTGAGGAAGCACTTGCTCTGGAATGTATCCTCCTGACAACCTTGAAGTTCCATTCCAGAATCCCCCCCGCTCATGCCATCCATTACATCTAGCTTGGCATTGACTTGTTATAAAACATTCACTTTGGCCTGTAACATGACCTTCTAAACCCATTCTAGCTGATATTACTCATGCCGTTGACATTTACAACTTAGTTCTCACCAAAACATAACACTGGATCTGAGCTACACACTTCTTTGTTTCATCATGGCTTTCAAGCTGGTAAACCTGAGGACTGCCCATTTCCCCCTCCTTTTCATTGATGTCGACCACTGTCAAGGACAATAAATGTTTGAACATCAGGACTGAAATACTATATAGTAACTAACTATTAAAGAAGCTGCAAGTGAGGGTTTGCATAACCACCTGAACCCTACTTCAAACGTTAGTTTGAGGAGGACGCTGGCCAGCTAGGATGGTTCTAAAGAAGGGCCATAAAAATGGAGAAAGACTGGAAAACAGTGGGAGATTGAATGGGTTTGATAGGTTAATGTGGAGAAGAGATGATGAAGATAATATTTGAAGTGGCTTCATTTAGAGGACACAACACTTTGGGGGCCTATTGTCCCAGAAGGTAAGACATGAAGTGGTTTAAACAGCAATTTGTTACCCTGGACAGTATGGAAAGGGAGGAGGACTCTGAGTTCCACGCACCATGGAAAGAATAGTCCGTGGCTCTGTGTGCCCCTGAGTTTTAAGTGGCTTATATTGGTTTTGGGCTTTAACGAAAAGAAGGAGTGCCATTTATTGGGGCCAGAACTTACAGGCAGTCAGCCATGGTAAACAAGCAACTGAATAACATGCAACTAATCTATTTTAGAGAATACTGTGGAGAAGGAACCTTGGAGGATTCATGTTTCTGACTGCTTGCTATGGACAGCCTTTTATCTATTTATTTATTTTTCTCAAATTTGTCCTAGCCTTTTAATGAAGATTTGGCATCCCTGAAAGTTCCTGGTGGCCGCCTAAGCATGTGCAGGTAGTTGCTTGGCAATGGGATAGACTATATCTATCATTTATTTATCGAATTTGTCACCACCCATCTCGTTGAACGACTCTGGGTGGTTTACAAAACAATTAAAATCAATTAAAATCACAAAATTGCAATAATAAATAGAAAAGAAAACGATCCAAAATAATTGGCAATCACTCAGGGAGCGTCATCGAGGCGCTAGCCACCCCCAGGATTGGGTAACGTTGTTATCCCCCCATGTACACTGGCAGAGCCAGGTCTTTAATCCTTTCCAGAAGGCCGGGAGGGTAGGGCCCTGCCACACCTCTGGGGGGGAGAATGTTCCAAAGGGCGGGAGCAACAGCAGAGAAAGCTCTCCTCCTGGGCCCCGCCAGTCGACATTCTCTCGCTGACAGGACCCACAACATGCCCTCTCTGCCTGACCGGGTGGGATGGGTTGATGTGACAGGGGTGAGACAGTCCCTCAGGTAACCTGGACCCATGCCATGTAGGGCTTTAAAGGTGATAACCAACACTTTGAAGTGGACCCGGAAGCAGACTGGGACCTAATGCAGCTCACATAGTAGAGGTGTTATATGCACCGTTCTTGGGGCACTCAAAATTATCTGCGCAGCTGCATTTTGGACCAGCTCTAGCTTCCGGATACTCTTCAAAGGTAGCCCCATGTAGAGCGCATTGCAATAGTCTAGCCGAGAGATGACCAGGGCATGAAGGACTGACCAGAGAGCCTCCTGATCCAGGAAGGGGCATAACTGGCATACCACACAAAGGTGGGCAAAGGCCCTCCTGGCCATGACTGCCACCTGCTCCTCGAGCAGGAGCCATAA